GAAGAGGTAGTGTCAAAATACATTTTATATGACAGCCATCAGAGCTGTCATTCTTATGAGAGCAAAGCGTGTGTGTGTGTGTGGGGGGGGGGGGGGTAATTGCAGTCATAGTTCATTTATATCGGTACCCCTGCGGCAGTCATAGTTCCCTTTATTCCGGTATTTTATTTTTATCTATCGTGCTTGTATTTGTAAATATTTATTCCGGTATCCCTGCGTATTTTATTTTATTTTTATCTATCGTGCTTGTATTTGTAAATATTTATTCCGGTATCCCTGCGTATTTTATTTTATTTTTATCTATCGTGCTTGTATTTGTAAATATTATTCCGGGATCCCTGCGTATTTTATTTTATTTTTATCCATCGTGCGTGTATTTGTAAATATCGTCGGCACCTTTAAAGGAATTAATTGTTAAAATAGAAATGGTTTAGTAGGCTGTGTCGTGTCAGGACATTCTGATCGCAAGGATACTTTTGACTCATTTTTTGATAAAGTCTTTAATGGAACGCTTAGAAAAGGCCGCATACTCCCAATGGGTCAAATCGATAATAAGACACCTGAATATCGACACTATTAATTTAAACAAACTTACTTTCGAAAGTATAGATATTTTCTAATCGACAACTGCATCCTAACCCAGTAACATTTATAGCTAGTGTCATATTAATTCTGGTTTCAGGAACAAAAAGAAAAACAGATTATAAAGTACCTGAAACTTGATGATATAAAAACATGTATCAATCAATCTGATTACAGCACATTATATTTCGTTTCGTTTTTTTTTTCTATAGTTCAAAATTTCATTTTAATACTACACTAGAATCTGAAAAAGTTGTTATATTACCGGTGTTCTGGTTGAAGCGAGCGATTAGCCAATGAAGCGGTTTGTTACGGCAAGTACTTGGCGTGCTCTTGCATGGAACTGTGAGTAAACCACTAGAAAAGTCAACGCTGACTGATTAATCAATGCCTGACGTCATAGGTCAAAAGTCGCTAGTGCGACCCCTGTCGCGACCTTCCAGTACCACTTGTCAGATCTGTGTTTTAATAAGAATTTATATCAATGATTACGGAATGGTTGTAGGGCTAGACAGAGAATCGGACAATTTCCGTTTGTTAAATCCATATTTATCAATTTAACGCAGTTGGAGAATGGGCGGGAACAGAAAATGTCCTTCATAGAACATCGCGATTTCATTTCCTTTTGGGATATTAAACATCTATAAAAATATATTCTGTGGGTTTAAATGAGAAATTGACAAAGACGATTTTTTCCATGTCCCTGTGGCATATACACTGAAAAAAAACTTGTGTTGAAAGAACACAAACTTGTGTTAAATTCAACACAAGTTAGGTGTCTCTATTTAACAACACAAACTTGTGTTAAAACAACACAAAACTTGTGTTAAATGTTGAAACAACACAAAACTTGTGTTAAAATGTATCAAACAACACAAAACTTGTGTTAAAATGTATCAAACAACACAAAACTTGTGTTGAAACTTGTGTGAAATCTACACAATACTTGTGTTGAAACTTGTGTTGAAATTTCTGAAACTTGTGTTGAAATTTCTGAAACTTGTGTTGAAATTTCTGAAACTTGTGTGGTTTCATACAAACTTGTGTATAACCATCATCAAAAACTTGTGTTGTATTTTTCCCCAATTTATATCCAGCATAGCAACCTTTCTATGCAGGACCCCTCTCTTTGCTCTGTTAGACCTGTAAAGTTTGATAAAAGAAGGAAACAAAAAAAAATTTTGTAAGATTATTATTTATTCATAAAATCATAGGAAAAAGTAAATTAATACATCAAAACTAAATAGATATTTGAAATGTTAACAGAAAAACAGAGACTTCAATTCTAATACAAATTATGTTGTGTTATATATAATGACCCCCCCCCCCCCCCCACTTTACCCATCACAAAATATAAAATAGCTATTTAAATTGTTCTTTACCCCAAAACAAGAACTGAGAATATAAAGATATGTACACAGTATCCCTACCCCATACCCCAAAATATATAATTCAAATATATCTAAATTTAATAACATCCAAACTAAGCACTAATAAGATTAATTATGCACTAAATTGAAACAATTTCAAAAACTGAAAAATGCTACAAAATCACACTACAAGTGATTTGTGAGGCATCTAGAAATAACTAGCATACACAGAAAACTAACAAAAGAAAATTGCTCTATTTTGCAGGAGTAATAAAATGATGTAGAGCCTTTTCCTCATTAAAAAAACCCCAAACAAAATGAATATTTTATAAATAAAAGAAGCAAAGCATCAAGATTACAGGATTGAAATAAAAAAATATCATATGTACAAAAGATTTATATACAATCACAAGTCATAAGCCACAGTGGTTCAGTGAGCATAAGGCGTTGGCCACGAAATTTCAACTGGATTTTCCGGCATAGTTCCCACTTTTCAGTGTTGGATATGGCAAGGGATAATTGGGTACAAGCCCAGAATCAAAAGAGAGAGAGACAGAGAGAAATGGGGTTTAACATCTACTCGACACAAACTAGATCATTTTGGGATTAACATATGGTTTAATTTTATTTCAATAATTCGCTAGCGCGTAGGGGTCTTTAGCAGTGGGAGGAAACCGGAGGTCCCGGAGAAAACCCACAAGATTGGACAGGCGACCCTACTCCTTGTCTACAACCGGGGATTCGAAACCATGCCAGTTGACTCAATGACAGGAGGCCGTATGATACAGCATGCACGTGCTAACCATTCGGCCATCCACCCCCACCCCCCAGAATTGAAACCAACCCAACTGCGTACACTTTGAAGAACCCTTGAAAATTGAATTATTTGAATCAATGACAGACCTTCTGATCAAATGTGTGCGTGTTAACCATTCGGCCCCCCTGGGTACCCTTTAAAGAACCCTTGACAGTTGAAATATTTGATATAAGGGTAGGGTAGAATCACTCTAAGAACACAGAAAAGCAGGATATTAAAACGTATTTCATTTCATAAGCAAGGGAAAGTCACCTTAATGTAGGTCAAGGTTTTTTGTAATTCTGGGTGTATTTGATCTACATTTGGTTTCTAGTAATGCCTATTAAATACTTTATGATTTCCGACCAAATTCTAAGTGATTTATATGTCAGTTTACTTGCTATATTATACATACATATTTGAAGAGAATTAAAATCTAATTGTGTTTTGGAAGAAAATTTAACATTAATAACAAAAAATAAATATTTAAAAATTGGGTCAAATGCATTCTTTCCCAGAAGTATAAAATAAATTGATGCTTGGGTTCTCTTGTTGTTATCATACACCAAATACTCTTTCAAGGGTGTTCCAGCCTAAAAAATAAAAAGTAGGCAATAAGAATACAATGTTTAAATAAACAATTTATTTTGCCACATCGAGACTGAGTCTCTATTTGGTTTCAACTTTGCGTAACGCTTATTGTGTCTTGTCCACTTAAAGACCCAGGCAGATTATTATGCTCAAATCAAATGGGTTAAAAGTCAGAAAAATGAAATGAAATGGGGTTTAACGTCCTACTGTTCTGCTCCTATACTGGGCTAATAATGACGGGCATATGCCACACAGTGTGCTATGAGGGAATTTTTGCCCGGGCAGCGGCACTATCATCTATTCTTATATCGAATTCCAACTGCCAGGGGATCTTTTACGTGCATTCCAATATTCGTCTCATCGGAAGGACTAGACAGCTGTCATTGTCAGGCCAAGTCAGAAAAAAGTCTTGAGATTTGGGACTGAAGTCTCATAATAGGTCAACTATTCACCCGGTTCATACATGTATTGTCTGCAAATCCAGATTCCCTACTACATCATTGGCAGCACCTATTTACTTGGCAATGTCTAATTATTTTTGGACCCATTCTTATTTTATTTCCATTGACAACAAATTGGATATTACCCTTTAAAATCTATTGAAATCTATTTGAAAAGTAAAATATTGTCCATCATTATTTTACTGCTATTTACTGTAATGGATGTGATTGGCAAAAATCAAGTATGCCAAGTACTTGAAATAGCTGAGTCCTAGGCATTGCCCCAAGAAGAATAACTAGATTACCAAGCAAGTGTATAGAACTAGTTGATGATTAAAAATACAAATATGTATGTTACTTACATTTTACCTGATTATCAAGCTCTGTGAGAAAAAGTTTCCATAATATGAATAGCCATTTTCAACTGTCTTGATCTTTCTGATGTAGTTAACGGAGAAAAAAAACATACTATGTATTAGTTGACTTAAAAGATGAAAGTTTTAATTTAATTACATTGTATTGTAATGTGTTGGTTTGCTTTGTCACAGATGAGACAAAATGAAAAAAATGAAATGGAATGGGGTTCGGTGTCCTACTGTTCAGCTCCGACTGGGCTAATGAGGTTGGGCATATACCATACAGTGTGCTATGAGAGAAATTTTGCCGGGTATCGTGACCCTAAGGCCTACTCTTGTATCAAATTCTAACTGCCAGGGGCTATTTTACATGCACGCCAATGTGTACACGGGACCACGTTTTTTTGTTCAATCTGAACGACTAGACAGCTGTCCTTGTAAGGCCCTCCGTTCTGCATTGTCTTACTGCAAACCCGCGACCTTAAAATATGCGAACCAGTGTCTAACCCACTTGGTCACCGTAGGTCCCCACAGATGAGATAGTCATATCTACATGTATCTGGACATAAGTAAGATTCTGTCTGTGCACATACATGTACTTCACAGTTTTACTATACTAAACTGATTTTAAATTCCAAATAATAAAATGAAATTAAGGTTTATGTCACATCAGCTCCAACCGGGCTATATTGTGCCAAACACATTATGGTGAGATTCTAAAATACCACAACAACAATCTTTTCTATTAGAATTGAACACTCACCCTCAAAAAACAACTATGAGAAATCATAGGTGCTCAAATCACCATTTCTTCAGCTCTTTTTTTTCCCATATTTGGGTTTTTTGACTTATTTTATTACATGATCTTTGATTTGCTATGGCATCTAATATGGAAACTGAAAAATATAAATATGTGACATGTAATTAACTGTTTAAGATACCTTACCATATACAAACTGTGTGATATCTAAAACCATTTGAATCCCGAAGATCTTACCGAAGCCGTGAAAATCTGTTTTAATAACCCTTGTTTGTCATGTGACTGGACTGTCACAGTAATTAGAAGAGAGCCATGTGGCTTAGTGTGTAAGGCACTGGCTTGCTACCCGGGAGTTTGTAGGTTTGCTCCCAGTGTTGACCGAGAAAGCTCATTTGGATTTTTTAGCATGGATTCCCTGTCTAGTCGTCATGGTGACTAAGTGGGTAAGACGCTGGCTCGCTAGCCTGGAGGTAGGGTGTTCGATCCCTGCATTGGCCGAGAAAGTTCACCCAGATTTTCCGGTGTGGTTCCCCCTTGTCAGTGATGCAGGATGGAGGGCCTGACAAGGACAGTTGTCTAGTCATTCGGATGATACGAAAAAACGAGGTCCCGTGTACACGTTGGCGTCCACGTAAAAGATCCCTTGACAGTTGGAATTCGATAGACCGCAGTGCCGCTGTCCGGGCAAAATTTCCCTCATAGCACACTGTGTGGTGTATGCCTGTCTTCATTAGCCCAGTTCGGAGCAAAATAGTAGGACGTTAAACCCCATTTCATTTCTAGTAGTTTCAATGGAACACAAAACCTGAGGTCCAATTGGCGTGCATTTAAGCCGATAGTATGGTAGTTGGAATTTGTTGGCTGTAGCACCCGTGTCACAGTTCGACTGCTAGTTTGTGATACCCACTCGATATAAATGAGTGGTGATTGGCTAATGAATTCTAAAATCAGACGAATGCTTCGGCGAAGCGGACAGCAGGACACACCACTCAAATACAATTCGACCAAATATATTAAACATGTTTGATTCGGGCGTATGTCAGTGGATAAACTAGGTGAAGTTTAGCGCCAATTGATTCAGCCGAATCCTTTGGCTAGTTTATCCAGTACTGACGATTTAAGTTTGTACTTTCTTTATATGCAAATATCACATTTGAAAGAGGCTGTAGGCCTACTTTCTTTATATGCAAATATCTTATTTGAAATAGGCCATTATTATGTGATTCCCCACTTGAATGTGACTAGGAATAAGGTCGCCTGTCCAGCCTTGTGGGTTTTCTCCGGGTCCTCCGGTTTCCTCCCTTTGCTAAATACCCCTAGGGTGTATTCGAAACAGTGTTCCGGTGCAGAGAACGGACGGAGAATGGGTTCTTGTCGGACTTGAGCAGTCTGGAATGCGTTCACGAACACGTTCCCGTTCTCAAATCCCACACTACCTCATAGCTGGTGTGAGGGAGAACAAACATGGTCGACGCATCGATAACTGCTGAGAAAACAGCATCATGGGTGCATTTATTAATTTAAAAGTTTAATACCGTTCGAAAATTGGATGTAGTATGTGGCCAGTATAACATCAAATAAGTTAGGTTGCCAGGCAACGAAACATATGCCCACAGCAGTTTAATCGTTTGCTCAGTCAACAGGGATTGTCGCATATTCATTCTTTGGTAGGTAATGTGGGCATTTACAAGAAAAGATTATAATTTTTGTCGTTTGTGGGTTTACAAAGGTTCTACAAACTGAAACAAGGGCCTTAATTGTTGAAATTTGACAGATTTTTTTGTTTTGTGTTTTACTAATTTAAATAATGCATACAAATCGGATGATAATTTTGTTGTTCGCGCGTTCACAAGGTTCGAAAAAGTGAAACAAGGGCCACAACTCTAGACATAATTCACGGAAATCGCAGAAATTTAATAGACGTCTTCGTTTTACTAATTTAAAAGATGCAAATGAATTTCACAAAGTGAAACAAGGGCCATAACTCCAGAAGAAACTAACGGAAATTATTGAAATTAAATAGGATTCATCTCATTAAAATAAACAACATATCAATTTCAAAATAATCAGGTCTGTAGACGACGGACAAACCTACGGACGAGGGCGATGACAATATGCGACCACATTTCCATGTGGGCGTATCAAAAGGTGATGTAATCGTCATCCAAAGAATTGAAAAGGAGTAAAATGGAGTCATAATTTATCATAAGTATGCCTAATAGCGAAGTCAATACCAAACAAGTTATCGTAACAGATTGTATAAATTTAATTCATCTTGTTACCATGGATACCGTTCTCTCATGTTCGAGACTCATGAAAGTGTTTTCATGTTCTTCAGCCGTTCTCGAACCTGCGCGAACACTGTTTCTAATACACTCCTACGGTACGCGCAAGCAAATCATTCAAATAAAATTGAACAATATTAGCCTCAAAATTACCTAGCGCCAGTAAGTATAAAGGATCTATCCGACAAACACTAACAACAACTCTAGGTTTATGCAGAATTAATATAACACAACATACACAGATGGCAATAGAATGAGACAGTGTTCAGGAAAAGGGCGGAAACGGAAGAAGACTACCCGTCCTACTTGATTCTAGGACATAAAGCATGGGCCTACTTGATTCGACCTTGTCTGCGATATCACCTCGGTGGAAGCGGACGTAAAATACAACTAACCCATCATTGATTCGACCAATTTAATACAAGGAAATGAATGGCATAGTTTGTGTCAAGTGAATTTAGTGAATTTTAAACCCCATTTACTCGCCCTCTCTCTACAGAGATAAATACTTTTCCTGTTACATACAATAACAATTATTGGCCATTATTTAAAAAATATATTAAAAGGAAATGAAATTCTGTTACCTGTTTTTCTTTGTGTAGTACATATGCTAACATCAATGACTGGAAAAAAAATAACGAAACTGTAGAGAAACTTCTGAATCATTGAAAGTCTAATTATTAGGCCTACACATTGATGACATTGATATAAAAAAAGGCTGATTTGTTTGTTGTTGTTTTTTTCTTTTACAGAAATATTAAGATTACATTTCAAATAAACAACTAACACAAAAGTTAGTATCTAGCTATAGTCAATGTCTGGATATACATTTCTCCTTTTTTTTGGCCCGAACGTCTATAAAAATCAAAGATGGCGGCCAATAATTGCAACCGGGCATTACTATAAAATCAAGACAGATTCTTACCTGCTGGTCCTAGTCGGGGGTTTCTTGCAATTATAAGTATTTGAACAACGGTGTAGCGCCGATTAGCTAATAATAATTAAGCACGATTTCAGAAAAATTAAGACAGATTCATTAGATTGCTGAATTAGCGGAACACTTTTAGAACACATCAAAAAAAATTTCTTTGTGGCGCCATTATATAAATAGAATTTCGGTGCAGTCAGTGGCAGTGGTTCTAAATCTGACTGTTTTAAACGAAACGAATTATTATATACATAGAAGCAATATATACATGCTAAATTAAATACACGGTTTTATTTTTTGTAAAAATTTACAAACCTGCGGTCTGGTATTCTATGTGACCATTATAATTTTTTTTTTAAAAATATCACGGCTAAAGCACTCTGTTGATGCTAACGTCACTACATCTAACTGAATGTCGCTGATATAATATCAAAGAAAGAATTTGTCGCAATGACTAAAGTATAGATACTTCTTCTTAGTTAGTTGTATTTTACGCCCGCTTCCACCGAAGTGATATCGCAGACAAAAAGTATAGATAACTTGGAGAACCATTATATCAATAAGTCGATTATGAGATACACGTGGATGATCAATTAAATTTGATTGGTTACTTTTCAGTTAACCAATACTGTGCAATTTCGATTACATCAACCAATTACATTATTAAGAGTTTTACTCATTTTTTTTGTTCATTGCACATTGAATCAATTTTCGAAAACACCAGGGTGCTGAAAATCACATGTACACTATATATTCATTTGGTCTATCAGTTTATTGGGTCAATAAAAAAAGACAGACATTTTAACTATACAGACAACTTAACACCAATTAACATTCAAGTCTGTCTGGCAATTGTCTGATTAATTGGTACTCACTCCCTTCCAGTGATTTTCGAGATGTGAATTAAGCCCTTTATTACTTTTCTTAAAACTTGACGACTCCCGAATTCAGACTTTGTATGAGTTTTTTTCTTAAAAAGAAAACAAATCGTGGAAGGTACACATTACTTGTGTTAATGATATGAAAAAACACACAAGATTTTATAAATCGACACAAGTTTGTGTTAATGCAATGCAAAACAACACATAACTTGTGTAGATTAGTTTTAACACAAGTACTTGTGTTGAGATCCAACACAAGTGTTTTTTCAGTGTATTAACTTGTAACACGTCATTAATTACCAGTCACGTGTTGAGCGTGAGCTCGTTAAACCATATTTAGCGAACCCGTCGATTTTATAGCTCCCAAAAAATGGGCCGGGGTGGGGGTGGGGGTGGAGGGGGGGGCGTTTGTTGACCAAATGATTTAACGCATGTTTTCCTCCCACTACGCGTAAGCGAATTATTGAAAACAAAATTGAACCATATATTAGTCCATCAATAACTTAGTGTGTGTCTCTCTAATAAAGTGTGTGGCTGTGGAGGGGGGTGGAATGGTTAGCACGTGCGCGCTGTATCATATGTCACTGAGTCAACTGGCGTGGTTTCGAGTCCATGGTTGTACGTGACAAGGAGATGGATCGCCTGACCAACCTCGTGTGGGTTTTTTCCGGGTTCTCCGGTTTCCTCCCACTGTTAAATTATTATTTAAATTACGCGCAATTATTGAAATACAATTGAACCATGTGTTAGTCCCGAAATTACATAGTTTGTGTCCAGTGGACGTTAAACACACACACACACACACACACTCTCTCTCTCTCTCTCTCTCTCTCTCGTCTTTAATAAAACTATACTGATATTTGTTTGTCTGTTGTGGGTTGGCGGCTACTGCAATTTGGTGTAAAGGGGTACCTCGGAGTAACATACGCCTGGAGGCCTTTGCCTACCGCTTACGGTTTCGGAGTTATACACTTTCAAACCGTGCAGCGCCGCGTCATCCGCTAGTGTACTATAAACAGAACATGTTCTATGTCTGCAATTCTAAGACATCATAATTTATAACCCTAACTTCAATGTATCTTATTATTGATCGTGAGTCTGCGACTACAATTTAAAATGTTTCAGTGTTAAATATCGAACCATATCTCCTGTTCTGCTTGATTAACGACCCGGATATCAACCTGAATCTCGGTCGTATATCATACAAATATTAGCACAACCGTAAAACTTCTCTACTTCATTTCACAGGAAACGATGGAGACATAAACGGAATGCTGACACAAACTGATTTCAACACCAAAAGATACTAAGATTTGGATGAAAAAATCTATATTTACATATTTGCCAAGATATGTAATTAAAATATAGATTTTCCATTCAAATCTTAGTATTTTTTTGTATATAATCCTGGGAGTTGAATTTAGAAACTATTAAATATATATATATATTTATATATATTTAATATATATATTTGTTGAACACCAATGATAAAGAGCCCACTAACTTGGAGTTATATAAGTAATAGCACCGATCTAAATAAGTTATGTCGAGTAAAACTGGAATCTTTTTCAAAAGTAGACCATCATTATATCCTTCACTTCATGTCGAGTAAAACTCCAAACTGTTTAACTCATGTCGAGTAAAACTCCAATCTGTGTACGTCATGTCGAGTAAGATTCAAATCTGTTTACGCCATGTCGAGTAGGACTCAAATTGTATACGTCATATCGAGTAAACTGTTAAAGTTATATAAATTAAAAGGAAATTTATATATTGTCTGCGATATCACCTCGGTGGAAGCGGACGTAAAATACAACTAACACTAACTTATATATTTAGTCCTAAGAACAATCTAACGTAAACACAGATCCTATTTCGTTTCGTTTTTTATAGTTCGCAATTTCATTTTACTTGTCTTTACTACACTAGGATCTGGAAGAGTACTGCTGTTATATAACCGCCATCTGGATGATGTTAGGAATTAGCTAATGAAACGGTTTGTTACGGTGAGTTTTTGGCCACGGAACTGTGGGTATCCCACTAGAAAAAATCAACGCTGATTGGTTAAGCTAATGTCTGACGTCATAGGGTCAAAAGCAGGCCCGTAACTAGAGGGGGCGCAGGGGGACTGTGCCCCCCCTGCAAAAAGTTTCGCCCCCCCCCCCCCCGTGAAAAAATTTTCAACCATAAAAAAATAGATATACATTGTCCGTCAATATTACAGCACCCCCGAGAACACTTCCCGCCCCCCTCGTTGCTCTGAGCTAGTTACGGCCCTGGTCAAAAGTCGCTTGTATGACCTCTGACGCGAACTTCCACTACAACCGGGCAGAAATTCATGTAGTAGAGTAAAAATAAACGAAACGAAATATAGACCCGTATTTTAATCAGAAAGTATTAATGGGTGAATAGCCGTGATGCTTGGCTGAAGATCAGGGGTATTGACATGTAAGGTTCCACACAAGAGTTTCGTGTTAGAAATTGTGCAGTGTTAGCATAACATTCTTCCTCAGCTAACTAGTACAATCTTACTACATATAAATTTAATGGATATTGCATGTTGATAGGTTCCTGTTCATTGATGCCGATAAACAATACAATACATAACAATATCCATTATATAAAATAGGAAACTAAAGTAGAAATTATATATACTGAGCGCCATGGAAAACGCATCACTTAGTTTTTCGTATAACAAAATGATCCTGTAAACATATCTTATTTATTTTGCTTCTTATTGTGAACAATATTCAAATGGGAACACATCAATAACAACACATTTGTACACTTATGGATGTTTACTTATATATACTATTGTCCCTGGTTCTTTTTCTTTCTTCTTATAAACCAATTTATATCGAAAAGGAAACTAAAATAGAAATTATATTCTTATATAATTTGTTGTTCCTGTTTTTTTCTGTCTTTTTCTTTCTTATAAACCAAACTATTTATATTAAATAGGAAACTAAAATAGAAACGTTTATATATATTTTATATCTGTTTGGCCTGTGTTTTATTATTTTATTAAGTTAAAAGCCAGAACATTTATGACATTTTGAATCTTTGATTTATATTTTATATTATTCTATATCTGTTTGTTTTCTTAAACTTCAAAGCCAGGCCAGTTATAACATTTTGAATCTTTTATGAAGTCGAAAATAGCAATAGCTATGACACATATTCTGTGGATTTTGTTTTTTAAATGTACATTGTTTGAATAATTTTCACAAAGAGTAAGTGCTGGAGAACCGCATAACATGCAACGAAAACCCTAAAAGACAAACCTGCGGACAATACAAATTACACGGGCAGACCTATTACACTTTTAAAAAATACAGACAAACTACACTATTTTGAATTTTTATAAATCCGAAAATAGCAATAACATATATTCTGTCCTGTATATGATTTGTACTAAGTATTGATGATTTTATATGTCAGTAAAATAGATCCTAACTGTTATAATCAATGTAAACATTATGGTTTGATATAATTCTATAAACCCCCAGTTTGATCTTTATGTGTGTTTATTTAGTAATCTTAGTATATACTGGTTTCAGTTATGGTTCACTGTGTATGGTTTCAATATTTGTTAATCTTGGTTAATCCCCTGTTTCATCTTTTAATTGTACAATAAGCCAACTCTAATATATACGATTATGCACCTTTGTTACATCAATAGCTTGTTATAGCTAATCATGCTCACTCACCTTGCATTCCATTGGATAGTTCGGACTGATGTTTGTATTTATATTCATATCTTTCTCATTTTTTATCTATTTGTATATATGCTTGATAACGACTTGTGAAACGTTGTTGAAACGTCGCAGTGAAATAAACCATAGTAATTGTTATCCATAAAAGTGTGTTTTTGATCAAATGGGTGTATTAATGATTGACATTTGTGTCCTCTTCTTCTCATAAAAGTAATGTATTTATACAACTAGCAAACCGAATCATGTTGCCAATAGAAGTTAAAAAAAAGTATTAAATAGACTGGGAAATATATTTTAAAATTAGGGATAACTTATTTTCGAATCAGTTGTATATCATTAAGGGCAGGATTTGCGACGGGTAGCCCTTATCAATAAATCCTTTCAGATGGTTATCGTGCCATATGTAGGAGGATGGGGGTTAATTGGGCAATTTGTGTTGGGTGGTGTTGGGGTGGGACGGCGGTCCAGTCAGATAATATGCGGATATTTATCGGATTATTGTATAGGGTTGGCGGTCGTAGGGGTATCTGTTAAATAATACAGGCTAAAGGGTACCAGATAATCTGCAGGGGGTAATGTGGATTACGAGAAGAGGTGGGTTGGGGTTACCAGGTAAATTGTGGGTCCGGGGAAGGTTATATGACAATATGCAGGGGTTATCAGGTAATATTGAGTAGTGGAATGTAAATACCATGGGTTAATTAAGTGTACGATGTTATTTAAATCGTGTTTACCAATTTTATAACTCTATAATTATTTTTAAACATTATAATTTTTTTCTAAATTTAAATCTTATAATGAAAGTTTAAATATTAATTGTCCATAAGTGGCCAAGAAATGTGGCTGTTAAACAATTAATGTTCTTTTAATGTTTTGTTAGTGGCTTGTAAAATTATTATCTTCAAGTTAAACTAATCTATTTTCGTTCATATGCTTTTAAAACTCTTAAAGAATCCGACCATTCATGACATTCTATAAAATTAAGTTTACCTAAAGAGATGTGATAAGATTATAAAATAAA